CCCCGGACTCGTCCGCGAAGACGGTGCGGGTGTACGCGACGCCCAGTGCGTACGCGCTCGCATTCGACCGGGACGGGTTCGACCCGGACACGCCGTTCGACCCGACGACGACGCCGTCGCGCGGGATCAAGTTCAGCGGGGGCCCGCCGCCGACGCTTGGGCTGTCGACCCCGAAGGGGGGTGTGGGGCTCTGGGCGGGGCGGGGCGGGGCGACACCTACGCCGACTCCGACGCTCGCGGCAAGGTTCGGGGCGGGGGCGGGGGGCAGCGTGGGGCCGAGGAGGCTGAACTGGAACGATGGGCGGCACGCGTACGAGACGACGCCGGGGGCGGGGGCGCACTCGAGGAGCATATACTCGGGGGGGGTACGACGACACGCCGATCACGCGGGCGCCGAGGATCGGGGAGAGGGTCGGGGGGTTGGGTGGAGGAGGCGGGAGGAGGTTGTGGGACTCGCCGGGGTTCGCGCCGAGGAGGGTTGGGACGCCAGAGGGGTTCGGGGAGGGGAAGAGGCGGGGGAGGGGGAGCGACGGGGACGGGGATGTGTCGATGGAGAATGAAGGTACGTCAGTCGTGTCCCGTTTATGCACGTTTGGTCGCGGATTTGATGCGTTGGGTTTCTTTGATCCAGCATGACATACAGGATCGCTGACATACTACTACCACTCACCTTCTCATCCGCCGTCTTTCGCACATCTTGCCTTTACTCGTACTGCTGCTTCGGTTTGCTCTCCGCGTCGGTGGACGCGACATTATTTTTATCGTGCGATACCTTACCCCCCCCTGCGACACCCGTGTATGTCTAGACGTTTGCTGTATGCGTGCTTATGTTGTGCTGTGATAGACTATGCCTGTTAGTGTAATGAAGTGACGAGCGGAAGGGGTAGTCGAGTGTTGTGGATTACGGTACCGTACGTGTAGAAACGAATCGATGTTGTGCCTGCACGACTTGCGGCGAGCGACGGTGATCCTCCGCGGCGTACAAAACAAAGCCTGAGGCATTCATTCTGATCGCGTGCGGTGGCGGGTGAATATATGCGCTCGCACAGTGTGCGTACGCGTATCAGGTCAGTCTATGCCAGTTCCTCTCAACATTGCGGGCATCCTCACCGACCCCGCCGCCACCGCTGTGAGTCCCTTCGTAGTGGACAACGGTCCCCCTACAATTGGTGTTGTTCTCTACTAAACCTTTGCAAAGGGCTTTACCGTAGCCGCGGCGGACGATGGTACAGATGCTCAAGCTTGCCTTACCATGGATTTCACAGGATCTGGGGTAGAATACTACTCAGATGTGCCCGCCGTGTCGATACCAGTGAGTGCGTCACAACGCGTTCTCTTGCAACGATCATAGGATGAGCGATCAGTCCAGGAGCACGAGTTGGAGGCACCTTTTGTGCGCTACCCGTCCTCCAAATTACGGTACGCGCGGAGAACGCCCACATTGTCTGCCCACCGGCTACTACGCATCGCATCCGTAAAACCGACAAATCTCTGAGTACTGAAAGCTCTTCAATGGCGCCTCCCGCCAACTTGCGCTCTACATCCTGCGGTGCTCCGGCGTCGGTTCTCCTTCAAATCTGGTAGAGGGCATCCCTGGCTACCCGCAATCCTGTATCAGAGGTCTGGGGGCTTATGGACGCTTTGCGCACCTGGTGTCGGTGACACAATCCGACCTCTAAAACGAGTTCTTGAAGGTCTTGCGCGCCACTGGGTGGTGGTGCATAGACGGTCTTGCTTGGCACTCTAAGACCTGTGCAGGTTTTTTTGATGTGCAGGAATCACCGCAAAAATGGTCGTCTAGATGTCCTTGGTGTAGCTTCGCGAAGTGTTCCTAAATATATCTCGACGCATCGATGTAGACCGCCTAGACGGAGCGAGTATAGATGCCAAGAGTGTTCCTATCTCAAGCCTAGCGCGTGGTGAAGTTATGTCAACTATAGCACAAGTGCTGTACCTCGGGCTAGGTCTCCTAGACTCGGAGCTTAGCCCAGCGGCCAGAGTCTGCCTCCTTGTGCCTGCTGGGCATTCTGGACCCGTAGACTCGGACTTTACTGTCGACTAAATGGCGCACATCTATAGGCGAGCACTGACTCTCATGGACAACAGTGAAGAACTATGTCCTTCCCGTTGGGCACCACACAGGGCTAGTCATTGGTCAGATGTCTGAAAACGCCTATGGTGCAACCCTCGGGCCGCTGGTTGCGAGTAATGTCAAGGTGAATGTGTGCAAATCTCATTCATGCGGATCCAGTGAAGGAGACTGGACAGGAAGTGACCTATAACTAACATAGGTAGATCATGATACATCATCTGATTGCACGTAGATGCACTACTAGATGCACTACGTTGTGAGCTCTGGATATGTGCGTGTAGGTTACATATACGTAGCTAGACGAGGCGTGGGATAGCTGACCGGGCACGCAAGCGCATCTAGCGTGGGATAGGTCTCCTACTGCATCCAAGTAGACGAACCCCATTTAGATGGGGTCTTCACGCAGTGAATGCGGACATGGTACACAGGATGCGACATTTGTCGAGGAACAAATTGGAGACAGTGAATACAGCCCCCATGGCAGATTCCAAGGAGCTTGGGACTGGCTGTATATGCGCACGTGGACACGTCTCGCGCGAACAGAGATGGAGAGACGACGGAATCCTGTCCGTGCCAGAGCACAAGACGGCGCGAAGGATCGCAGCAGGATTGCGGACAGCTACACGTTGTCCCCTCTGTGTGTACGTAGATAAGCAGCGAGTAGCTGAATAGGATAGAGCCCTCCGGCCAGTCCTGGTCTCGGTGGCTTGGGGGTTGCATTTTGCTTGGCTGTCCTTCGAAGACCGCTTCAATTGACAGTACTACAGTCCTTGCGCGCATCGGGCGGGCTCACGCCCGCCGTCGACGCGCCACGACTGTGCTTTCCTACACGATGGAGTTTGTGGCGGGCTTCGGTCGGGCTGGTCCTGCCTTCAGCCCGCTCTTGCCCACCAGCACAAGCTGAGGAGTGCTAGCGGACCGCTGAGAATCACCTACAGCACTTGTCCGCTTGGAACGCGAGGCCACGCGGGCCGGTACCCCCCACAGGAGCTGGGATATACTGCCCTACAGACCTGGCACGTGGCTGGGAAAATATGGAGCTGCACATTGTGCATCGACGTCGACTGGGTGCGGGCAGACTGGCTGGGAGAGGACGCGTATGCGCGCGCCCACACCACCAAAGAACACGACGTGCAGAGGCGTAGGCTTCGAAACAAAGCGACGCACCACGTCATAGGTGCTGGTTCAACGATGAAATGAGGGCATCCGGCGACGATCCGCTGACAACCGCGGTAGGACGCGTCGCGACCGTGTCGTAAACGCGCCGAACGCGTCCCCGGGTGATTCTCATCCTGTGGCACCTGCGTAGAGATGAAGCTTACCTTGGGTTTCCTTTACTCACTACTCGGGCCGTGGGCTGCTCTACGTGGCGTGGAGGCAAGATGCTTCTTCTGGGGGTTCTAGCCCAAGACTAACGTCAATCTGAGAGGCCGGACAGACGCGTCATGGAAGCGGATATTTTGGGTGAGCAGCGCGCGAGACCAGGGCGGCACCGACGGACGGGCAGGACAAGCGTGAATGTGGGTAGCACGGAGGTGACGGAAGCGTGCGGCGGGAGACTCGGAAAGGGACGACAGGAAAGGCAAAGATGGGGCGGAAGGGCGTGTGACAGGCGTAAGCATAGTCCGTGACGACCGCGTCAGGCGAGCGACGCGTCTGTGGCTGGCGCTCGGAGCCTCTGTCGGAGCGACGACGACGTTCTCAAGTACTCCTCCTCGCAGCGGTCTTTGCCTGGCACAAGACCTGAGATGGCATCCGCAGGCGAGCAGATTCGGATTGCCATAGTACCGTCCTTCTTCCGCCTCCTTCTAGCTCCTTCTCTGATCTCGCGCACAGGCCCTCGCCGCACTCCGACACAAGCCACCCCTCCAATCTGTCCACGGTGAGCGCCATAGCTTCCCTCTGAACCGCCCGCCCTGACCGACCCGCCCCTCCGCCAAAGCATACATCCTCGATCTCCACGCCGCATTCCCCCCACCGCCCTCTACCGCCAGCCGAGAAAGAGAGCCCCATCGCGCCCCGTCGCCCAACCCGTGGCGCGACCGCGTGCTCGTGCTCGAAAGCGACCTCCGCGAGCTGCAAGCGCAGCACGACAAGGACAGCATCCGTACGTCCCCTCCCGCTCTGTTCCGTCAGCAACGCATCCGTGTCATGTCCATCACGAAGCCCCGCTCTGGTGCGCTGCACGACTGAACCCTAGTACCCCCTTGCGGGCCTTCCTTTGTGTCTCTCCCATCCCTGCCATGCGTACCTTCCCAGATTGCCTCCTTGGGGACGTGCTTCCCCGCCGCCGGACGGGCTTCTCGCCGTGCACTGCGGTGCATTGTGCGCGGTTTCATTGACTGAACCCGGGGCACTCAACGCCGAGCCTGAGTTACGGGGGTTTGCATATCGGTGGGCTGCTTTGAAAAACATGTCGAGGTCCATTGGCGACCCAACGATATGCAAGCCCAATCAGTGACGCTCCAAGACCCCACCGAGCGCGCCGCCCAGCAGGGCCTAGCGAAGGTGGTTCAATACATCTCGGTGGTACCCTCCCGCCTCTCGTGTGGCGGATCGGACTCGTATTTTGGGCACCGATCCGAGCGTGTTGTTTCCGAATGGACCCACGGGATTTGGACCAGGACGCGCCGCTGACGTCGCTTGCTGCCTATATGCACCCTGCAGAGCTCCTCGCACTCCGCAAGACGGCCGCCGCGCGACCGAAACAGACGAAGAAACGCGCCCGGGACGACGATACCGACTCGGGAACACCTGTGCCGTCAGGGAAGAAGAAAAAGGCCAAGCGGCCGCCGCTCGTTCCCGTCGTCGTGGATGGTGCCCCTGGGGACGATGACGCGCTCCGAGGGCCTGCCCAAGACACCACCGTCGGCGAGGATGCGGGTCCTCTGCCAGGAAAACCACCACCATCCTCGACGTCGACCGCCCCCGGGGGTTTGCTAGCCGGTGCGTCATATGCGCTCATATTCCTTCCTCTCTGTCGGATTGCGGGGATGTCCGTGTGTTCGTGTGGTGCGTGGTGCGTTGACGGACGTGTCCTCATCTCCTCCAGAGTCTTTCCGTCAGTTGTTTCTGAATCGGCGTCGCGTCTACTCTCTTCCAATGAGGAGCTAGAATAACCAGTTTCCAACCGTCTGCGAAAGGAGTCTAATGGAATACCCGTCGTTCCGAGACACGCCCGGGCGGACGAGAGCTCCGTATGCAGCAGCACGCGGGTAGCATGGATCGTCGCGTCGAACGATCGTCCCATCCCGCTGTGCTCCGCGCCGCGAGCGTTGCAGATGATGAGCGGGAGATCGTCCCCCTCCAGGAGGGGCAATCGCAGTCCTGCAACGGCGAGGGACGCCGGACGCTCTGCCTCATATGCATCAGTTAGCCTTCCGCGCTCGGCCTTCGGCTGACGGTACCTACTCATTACCGCCACCACCATGACCATCAGCATCCGCTGCGCGTCTGCGAGAAGCGTGATGTCGTCGCTGAGTTGGACTGGACGTGGCGTGGTTCTCGCCCTCGATGGCCGGGAGTGACTCGGGTGCTGCAGGACGCGCTCGCTCGGTTCACGGACGCGGACAAGGGCCGGCTCGTCAACGTGCGTTCGCTACTCTCGTCTGTACACTAGACCGACTCGCGAGGAAGGTCGGCCGCGGTGGAACGGTGGGAGTCGACGCGAGGT